ATCATATTAAATTAAACCAATTAAATTAAACCAAATTAATCAAGATTTCGATGTTTTTGTGATAAGTTATTCTCTTTAACTCATTCTCGCAACAATTAAAAGACATGAACAATAGAAGTACGGTTAGCAAAAAACCTGCAATAAAGCGAGTTTCTCTAACGGGCGTTCAAAAAAAAATATTTTGTGTTTAAAAAAGAAAGCTCATCCTAATTTGACTCATACAGCGCTTGCTAAACTGTATGGAATTAAAGAAAATACTGTCTCTACCATTCTCAAAAATTCATCGTACTGGCTAAATCTAGACGAAAGTTTTTCTTTAGCGAAGAGGAAACGCGAACGAATTGCCGCATATCCTGTGATTGAAGAAGCTCTTTATACGTGGTTAGAACTCGCAAATCAAGTTTCCCAAGTCATATCTGGTCATATTTTGCAAAAAAAAGCGAAAGCTTTTGCAACTCTGGCAAATATAGATAATTTTAATGCATCAGATGGCTGGCTTTCGAACTTTAAAAAGCGTTATAATCTTCAGGCGTACAAACAAAGAGGCGAAGCTGCTAGCGCTCCGATTGACGATCTTCCTCAATTCCGTGTCGAACTTAGAAGAATTACTGAGAATTACCAGTTAGAAGACATCTACAATTGTGATGAGACCGCATTGTATTGGCAACTTCTGCCGTCGAAATCTATTGCGACTGGTCCGTCTTCTGGGATCAAAAAGTCAAAGCAACGTATTACAATCTTATTAACCGTTAACGCTACCGGAAGTCATAAATTGAAACCGTTAATTATTAATAAATGGCAAACTCCACGCTCGCTGAAACATATCGACAAAACGTCTCTACCTGTTTACTATTTTTGGAATAAAAATGCCTGGATGCAACGGTCGATATTTGAGATTTATCTCAAAAACCTTAATAATATGATGCAGCAAAGTGGGCGTCACATTCTTCTTTTAACTGATAACGCATCATGTCATTCTATTGATATTATTGATTCACTGAGTCAAAGTCCATTTTTTGCCGCCAAACACTACTTCTCATTTGCAACCTATGGACGCGGGGATTATTTACAGTTTTAAAGTTAGGTATTAGTACAAATTAACATTTTTAATTAAGTTGAAAGGTCATTATTTAACATAATATCAATTTAAAGGCCAACTATCGTCGTCTTCTCTGTGAAAACCGTATCAATGCGTATGATCTTGCGTTAAATACGAGAACAAAAATCCCCGAACTTACTATTGCAGAAGCAATCACGTTAGTTGCAAGCGCGTGGGATAACGTTAATATTAACACAATTCAGAACAGTTGGAAAAAAACTCAGATACTGTCACAATCCAACATGGATATCGATAATGAAATGAATGCATTCTTTAATTTTAATGAAGAGGAGGAAGTTGCCAACGACAGCGCTAATATTCAACATTTAATTGACCAATTACCTATTTCGAATCCTTTAACAGCCGATCAATCGATAATGAGCTCGATCATCAAAGAATACCGACTGACGAAGAGATAATCGAAATGGTAAAGCATCCTGACGAACCCGACGGACCCGAAGAGCCCGAAGAACAGTTTTTTATTGTCAAAAGCGGTGAAGCAGTTCACGGAGTAGACGTAATTACTAATTACATTAGACAGCAGAACCAAGAGTTTGTTATCACACACGAAGAATTTAAAACATTGTTAAATATAAAGAAGAAAATACTCTTCCATTCAATTAATGCGAAGCGACAAGGCACCTTAGATTCTTTTCTAAGATAGAATAGCTGCCATACTGTACTGCTATATATAATAAAGAATTTTCGCTTGATATAATGATGTTTCACGTGATTCAAATATGATCTTCGTTATAACGAGATCGCTCGATATAATGAACTTTCGATAATATGAACCTTTTGGTCCGGCC